TCAAGTTTTTTCCTCCTCCATTGAAGAGTGCCCAAGATTAAAGTTTCTGTTAGTCTTTAGTTAGTCTCTAGATGCACCATTAACAACATAAACCGCTGTGGTCCTGGCCCAACCCCCGTTGAACATGTAATCAACAGTTCAAAACTGTCTTATACCAGAGTATACGGAGGTATAACTGAAGGGAAACCGCTTGCTTAGACGTACCGTTTCTGACGAAGGCTGGAATTTTTATTTGACTGGATGACGAGCTTGGGAAAATGGGAGAAAGTAATTATGGGCGGGCAGAAACTTTCACATTTGGGGAGGTGCACTCTTTACATTAAGTGGATTTATGATCTCGAAAATTCTATGATCTAATTGCGAGCAGGAAAAAGTTATATATCACATGGACATGGCTCAATGGAAGTAGGTATTCCTGAAATGGAGGCTAAGCAGCTCTACTGAAAGTTTAGGAATCGCATCAATAAAAAGTCGGGAACCAGAATCGGTGATGATATGACCATGTTTCTGTTCATTTTATGTCTATGCTATTCAACATGCTTGTCTATTCGAAAACCATTGGAACAAGCGTGGTCTTTGCACGTGGTCATCCTGGCAGTTCAGAGGCGCCTTTCTTCACAGATAAGAGGGCCGCTGTCTTGGCCAGTGACTACCTTTTCCATTGGGATATATTCATACAAGGAGGCGTTCCTAAATTTCCACGGTCACAGGGTTGCACATGACAGGGGTTTTGTAAATACGTAGTCGCCCGTTGTATTCATTGAAATCTCACCCTTATGCTGTACGCTCCGACATGGAGTGGGCGCAGAAAGCGCGACGCCCAATCGGGCCAAGATCTTAATTAATGACAAAATAAGGTAGAGGTAATTAAATGTAATGGTAAATGAGGTAATTAAAATAAGGTAGTTGAACCCAATGAGTTCAGCCAGCTGGAAATGAGTGAAATTCCTGATGGAAATTTCCACCTGATAAGGTGAAAATAATGGGTGGGTTTGGAAGTTAAGATTGTTCAGGCTACCAGGAAAAGCAGGCTCTGATCACTGAACTTGGACTTTCCAATTTTTGCCTCCCGGGAATAAAAGGGCTGTGCTGTAGCCCTCAAGAAGAGCAGATGTTGTTTGATGAGTTTGAGGTCTCGATTTTTCAAGTTCGAGAAAAAGGAAGTGCCTCATCGTGAATGAATATGAGTCGATGCCCGTAATCTGGATTGTTGTACCGGAAGGGTGGAAGCGAAAGCTTGGATATGGTCTGTATTGTCGTAGAGCTCTGAAAATTACGGAGTACTCAAGCAAGAAACCAGATATTTTCATGGGGAACTCCCAGACGGAAAAAGTGAGCTGTAGGTAGTAGCCTCGAGGATGCAGAGATCATGCTACGTGTAAGGTGACTAAGAGAGCTGCCACTTTGAACGAATGCATGTAGTTACGGACGTTTGTAATAGAACGCCTTTCTTCCGTATAAAAGGAACTTGTTCTGTGATAAGTAAGGTAGGTGAGAAGCAGAGCAGCTGCCGAGAAAGCCATTCACGATGACAAGTATTAATAATTTAAAAATCGACCTTGAGTTGCTGAGATACAAGAATGCAAATGATAGTAAACAACAATAGTTGTAAGTATGACATGGGGAAATGGCGTGTACAATGAGATGGGTATGCACCTTGAGACATGCTTGTAATGTATTTTTGCCTCTCGGACTCTTGATAGGTCAGGGATCGCGAATGAGTTGGGAAAGGATTGCAGCAGTTTTCAGATGATAAAATTATTACATGCGGGGGCTACCACCCAAAGTTCACAATCAACAGGTAATGAATATGGAGAGTTTTGACTCCGATACACATACACATTCTATTCGCCGCTATTGTTATTGTTGAACTGATTTTTGAACGATTTCAGTTTCCAATTCATTGACTTTCTATATGAGTTTGATGCTATGAGTATTAGGCATGAGATAAGCCTTGCACAGTTTAGATTTTTATCGGTATTGCACATCGAGGTCGACTGAATCTGCTGACGGAAATGATGCAATTCCCTCACGTTCAGATGTTCAGAAAGGTCAGTATGTCTCATGATCTGAGCTTCGAACGATTTGCTAGTATTTTCTTTCTTAGTATTTCCTTTTCAGATGAAAGGTAAACCAGAGTTCCCGGATGGCATTCAGGGGTCTGGTGATGTCCTCTCTCATTTCAGTGAGTGCTTTGTGTTAAATCGTTGACGGCTATGCGAGTTTTTTTTTGTGTCTACAACATTGGACCGCGCGCTATTTTCTCTGTCGAAAGGTGCTGCCTGATGCAAGGTTGCATTACTCCAGAAAAAAGTTCTTTGGGATGATACCATCCGAAGTGAGGAGATCCAAGGGATTTTTCTCACCTCAGTTTTTCCTTTAACTCTGAACCGATTTTTCTGTAAACTGAATCGATGCTGGTCCTACTCATGAATATGACATTGTTCTCTGACGCCAAATTGTTCTCAAATTTAATCACCTGCATGCATTGCAACCTCGGCAGTAGAACTAATTGATGATGCCGGTCACAAATGTGTTATTTTCAGCAGTGCCTTAGGCCCAATTGACGCCACAGGTGCTTTCTACTTGATTCCCTGAGAATAGGTTTCTTAGTTCCGCGTCTTGTCACTGCAGCTTCCCAGCGATTCTGGCAGAAAATGAAATTTGGATCCATCCATGGCGTGACTGGTTGTTTAACATTCATTTTTCTAGGCGCTTATAATTACTAGTGGGTGCCTCAAATAGCTCCTCTTCATGGAACAAATGCTGGTTTCGCAAAAGAGCATGCGTCATTTTTCTCTATGACCTCACGTGAAATTTGGAATGAATTCCTGCGCCTAGCGGCACCTGAGCCTGTTGCTAGCATGATCACCATATAACGGGGCCTGCTCATTGTAAGCGCCTTAAAGGCACAGTTCACGATAATTTTGGGTAATCCAGATTATGATGAAAAATGGAAGACAAGATCGAAACTAGTGCGACTGAGGTGAAGACACTGCGTGCATCTGTGTTTCCAAAGTGAAAAAAGGCTTCCAAAAACCGTTAAAAAGGGGGCTGGACGAGAATGAAACCAGGAATATGAAGAAGAGTGGGGCGTCCGGACGAGCTAAACAGTGTGTTTCACTGCGCGCGTGTGGGTCCTGGTGCGAATAACATACAATGGTAAGCAAAAATTCATT